ATGGTGACCAGATTTGGGTACAACCACAGCAGCACTTGCCTTGGCTTGGGTCGCCAAACACCCTGGTACATCATCTGTGATTCTCGGGGCGACAAGACCGGAGCAAATCGTGGAAAACCTCAAAGCGATAGAGATATTGCCCAAGCTCACGCCTCAGGTCATGGAAAGGATTGAAGACATCCTTGGGAACAAACCTTCACCTGGGGTATGTACTTTCCAGAATGGATCTCTTACTCATTCATTGACTTCGATTTGTTTGTGTTAGACCACTTATGGCCGTCCACCGTTGGATGAGTATGGGAGACAGTAAATTTAGGTTTTGGAACACTGAGGGTCAGCCGCTAACGAACGATTACTTTATGACTATATACTTGATTGTACCAGAATTTTTACACGTTTCTAGCTCATGTTATTCTCCGAAGCCACAATGTCCAGCTAATTTCAAGAGTCTACCGATATACAAGTATATGATCAAGGTTTCCTCGCTAGAATGGTGTGAAATGTAGCGCTAGCCTGGCCAGAGTTATTCCACTCGACTATGCATTCCTGCAACAATTCCTCATACTCTTGCTCTGTTTCCACATATCCGAACCCCTTTCTGCTAATTATCCGATCTTTCATTCCTAACCACAGGTCTCGCCATTGGTCAGATCGATATCCATCCTCTCCGGTACGGGAAATCGAAATGGTTCGCGTTTCACATTGAATGTCTACAAAACCATTTTCCCTCAAAAGAGATGGTACATATACCGCGATATCTGCGATAGTTCCCATTTCCGGAGCTCCGACAGAAATTAAAGCCTGCAGCTTATTGGAGGAGGGGCCAACACCGAAATGAAGATTCATATCAAGTTCGACTAGCTCGATCCACTTGTCCCGCTGAAGCACTCTAAATAACTCCGCGATAGCTTTGCGCCAAAGGTAGTCGTTAAATGCTCCGACCATAAGACGCTGGTGAATATACGAGAACATTTCATTCCAGTCTGCCGGGAGATCAGCCACAGAGTGTATGGAGAAATGAACGTTTGAGGGATGCTCTGAAGGAAATTGTCGGTCCGTGATGTCGATGCATTCCATATCGACCAAGACGCCATCTCCCTTGTTATTCTCGAAAAACTCGAGTGCCCAGATACCTAGTATGTTCAAGATTAGACCGTCAACTTTCAACAGAGGAGACTCTAGCTCTACCAGATCCCGCGCCACTCTCGAGTACACGATCCCCTGCCTTCAAGGTAAGAGGTGCGAGAGTAAGCCTGTTTTCAAAAGCTCTGACAATGACACGATGCTGGAGATCCAACCTTTCATAGTTGTGTATCAGTAGTCCAGCTTTGGCTCTAGAAAGAAGATGTTGGACTGACCTTGTAGTTTCTGCTTCATCTGCTGGAAGTAAGTATTGGGTTGAGGCGTAAAATCTTGGAGGCATTGTGTTGTTCTTGACTGAGAAGAGAAATAGCTTTTATAAGACGCTGGAAATTAAGGATCACAACATTTGGTAAAGTTTCTCAAGACTTCGTAATCTATCTGGTTTTTTCACTTCCGAATCGACGTAACAATGAGCCTTTTCTATCTATCACAGCCTAAGAGCAGGAAGATACCAACAGATAATAAAAGCTAAGTTTTAAGACATTACTGTGAAGGTGTGATGGCTTCTAGCCTTTAGGTGTACATTTAGAATTTAACAGTTTGATTATAGTCGCCAGGATTCAAAGATCTGACAGGGTGTTGGGTTGCCATCTGCCTGTAGGGTGGCAGGTACAACTAAGGCCACGTACTGCGGCCGCAAAGAAATTATTTTTTGCTCATGCTAAATCTACAGCTAAGGAGCAGCTCGCGGCACCCGTATGGGAGATGTTACACCATTTCGATGCTATGATATTTCACGCTAGAACTTCCTGATGGGCCCGTACTGTATGCAGGTCCGCTAGCAGAAAAATTATGGGTCCCGACAATGCTATAAACGTTACAGAGCGAGTCCCTGCAGGCAATCGCCACTATCACGCCACAGCTCGAAAAGTGGAGAAAGTTCCCCTTGGCAGAGAATTATGTAATAGCTTACAATTCGGTTCGCATTGCAATGAATAACATGTATATAGACTCAGAACCGTCCAAAGTGCATACATACAGTCACGCAATTAGAATTTCAAACTTGTTAATCATTTACTTATCATGAATTTCTATCATTCGGCGTTCAAATCCCCCGAGCTGATGTTTTGGATGCGACGAGCAAGCGGACTTGTCTTCTTACAAATTATGCATGCCCGATGAACTTGCCGGGTCTGGCTCAGCTCACCTTCGGTATTTCAGGGAGACTTGGTCTCAACTCACCCTCCCCCCGCCTCCCCCATCATCTTCCCATCTTTACCACCTTTCCTCCCCATGCACCTCTATCGTATTGACCTCATTCGCGACTTATGACTGTTCCCCATTGACCTTGAAATCTTTTTCGAGAAGCTATCCATATCGATGGTCGCGCACCATAAAGTAAATAGTGAATAAGAAGACTAAAATCTTGTACTTCATCGCGGTGAAAAAAGGTCATTTGACGACGACGGTACACCTGGACATCATCTGTATACTCAACATCTGGTTTATGCCTTTCCCTGACATTTCTCGACTCTATCATGTCATTGTCACGGTTTAACATACATTGTATTCCTTTCCGGAATTATTCGTTCGTAACGCGCAGTACCGGTAAGTAAGGGCTATCACCGCAAGGTTTTCAGAACTATCATGTCAACGTCGATGTCAAGCGTGAGCCCTTCAGCATGGCCAGTATTACTGATTATCAACCTGGGCCTGTATACTTCCCGCTCTGTCTTCTCTGAAGATGTTTGACCGTACCCTCCTGATCACTACCATCGCCGCACTGAGCTGGATACTCTCGATATTCCCAAACAGTTGCACAAATGCACAACTAGTAAATGGGGCGTTCCTCCCTCTGTTCGTCGATCCTCAACCTGATTGTTCCGGATGGACTTTTGCTACGTCTCCGTGAGTCTGAACAGTACTTACTGTATAATATGATATTTCCGTGCCCATGTCGACATTGCGATTTATCCCAGTATTTCCACCGCGCCTATAGTCAAAGTCTTCACAGTGATCAAACCACCCGCGTTAGGCCACAAACCTCCAAAATCCTACCAAACATGCATCCCACCCCTCATCGCAGCGGGCACTCAAGAGGAGCACACGCAACTGGTCCATCTGCTGGGCTACGTTGACACTCAGCAAGGCCAGCGTAATCCGCAAGATGTCCAGAAGGACATCAAGACCTATGCAGGGTGGGAAGAGGCGTACAGGCCGGAGGGGATTTACTTTGATAATGTTCCAGCTACTGCTGCTGCCAGTGGGAGTGGGTACTCGGGGGAGGGGAATTTGGATTTGTATGAAGGGTACGCGACTCAGGTTAGGGAGTTGTTTGGAAATACGAGTCTTGTGAGTGATATTAAGAAAGTGTGGGTCTCCAAGGTTAACTTGCACACTACGGTGGCAGGTCGTACTTAATCCGAGTACACTTCCTGACCCGGGGTACTTTACCTTCTCCGACCTTATCATTACAGTTAACGAAGATTACAATACATTCAAGTAAGTCCCGCTCGGTGCTAGATACTGAGGCCCTCCTCCCCCTGCTCAGTTGCTATGGTTTTTTCTAGCTTTACATCCTTCGAGTCGACGAATATAAGCCCGACAACACCGGCAAGCAAGCAAATCGTCATTCTGTACAATCAGACTGGGATTCTTGAAGTTTCGCCGGTTGTAGACCAGATATCTGCTATTGCAGATGTGAGAGCGTGCTTTATTACGACAGAGCCAGAGGCGACAGAGTTTGATAGTGTGCCTAGTATATGGTCTCAGTTGCTAGCTTTGCTTATAGGTAAGACAACCGCCATTTTCTGCGTTGCAATGCGTTAATTCTTTTCTTTCACTCTAGGGTCCCAAACTGCTTGAGAACTTTGAACGCGATAAGCTTCGAGGTGAAATGTATATTTATCGTATTACAAACATATGCAAGAATTCTCTACCTTCCTCTCGTATGTACAACTATTTCAAAGACGTGCACCACGTCTATGCGTAGAACTTGATCTGTTGACCCTGAACTTCCGATATGATTGCGAAAAGAAGGAAGTAGCTTACTAGGCGTTGATAAGAGTCTGGAGTTTACCGCTCTTGTTAGCGGCTTGGGTGTCGTCGTTACCTACAAACAACAAGTAAGCTCAGATGTCAGATGATATAGGTAAAAGAAAGCATTGTGTCCTGACCTCCGATGTGCTCCTTCTCTATAAAAGAGCGAAAAGAAAGTTTTGTTAGTATCGATGGATGGATTTAGGGCGCACATATACGGATAGAATGAAAAGATAAAGATACGTACTGACGAACACATTGGGGACGGTTCTCTGGCCTGTCTTCTCGTACAAGTAGTTCTGAATCTCAGCTCCCTCGTCCATTAGGTCTAATCTAAAGAGAAGTAAGAAATAAACGAGGCAATGAATGGATGGCGACGCATCGGAAAAGAGTATGTACACGTACTCAAAGATCTTCTTCTGTACGTCCGGATACTTGGCCTCAAAGAGGGCTTTGGCGGCTTTGCAATGAGGGCACCAGCTCTTGGAAAAGATCGTTACGGTGTTCTCGTCGATGGAGTTCTATGATATGCAATGATATGACCATTGATCAGAAGGCCGCTTATGAACGTATCAAAGAAGTTTAGCGCACGTTAACGAGATCTTTAACAGCCATTATCTTGAGTTGATTCTGGGAAGGTTTGGAGGAAGAAGGTTGGGGTTGGGATGAGTTGTATATGATGGGCGATGAACAAGGTTGATTCGAAAGACGCTTTGCTTTTCAAGCAATTCGTAGGGGTATGTAACACGTGCGGGGATTGGTAATGGAAAGTTAAAGTGATGTTATGCAGTCATTCGAATTCCGGTCGGGATCGGGATCGGCTTTTCAGCGTCCGGTGAGTGGATAGATAAACTTTTCCGTAAGTTATCCGACACAGTGCTTCCTTAGCTCAGTCGGTAGAGCGCGAGTCTCATAGTGCGAAATGGTTCATTTCATAATCTCGAGGTCGCAAGTTCGAGCCTTGCAGGGAGCATTTCCAATGCCCAGCGTAAGATATTTTTTTGTTTCGCCTCTGAGGAATACCGAGGTCACCTCCATCCAAGTTGTAAAATTATTAAGTACGAAGTCCTCAGAAGCACACGAAAGAGTGCGAACGACTCATGCATTGATATGTACCTGTAAAACTACCAAGTACGAAGTCTGTGTAAATAAAAGTTCCTACGTTTGCATCAGCATCTCCCTCTGCAATAAGTCGGATCGATTCCGATTCAAACAGATCGTTCACAGAACGCGAAGAAGGTAAAAAGAAATTGAAAGTCTACGGAATCATCTTAATAATACTTCCTCAAATATCACTTGGCCCTCGCCCTTAACGTCCACTCTCCATCCCCTTCCCCCTCCCCACTTCCACCCACCGCCTCCCCTTCCTTCACCCTCCCCAACGTATCCTGCCACTCAGGTGCATTCCCAATCATAATCTCCATACCCGTCCACCCAAAAACCCTACGATCCACACTTTGTAATGATTTCAACTGATCCAATCCACCCGTATACATTCCAAACACACTACTCACGGTGCAGAGGCTAGCTGGGAGGCCTAAAGGCCAACGCGCTATCTGTAAAATCGGCACTTATTGACTGATGGATTCTGAATAAAAAAGAAAAAAGCGCGTCTGCTATCTAATGTTCTCCTCACTCCCGTCTTCGAGCGCGACGAGAGTGTATGGCTATGATAGTCAAGGCTGCCTCCATAATACAGACACGCAGAATCGGCGTAGATCTTGCTGACCGAGCTACAATTGCGGGGACTTAAATCCATCACAGAACTTCCACCCCGACACAGATTCTATTATCCAATCTTGACCTTTTGGATAATGTTCTGAAGAGCGGACTTTCCAGTGCTACGTAATTTCAGACCTTGTACAAACACTATATGTGCATCTATGACAACAAAGGGGTCTTCCCGCTCCCTTGACAGGCGATGAACAAATCGAACTTCCGCTGTGTTACCTATTGATTCCACCCTGTTACGCGTGTACTGCATTTTTACTTCACATTCATGTATAAACCGGGTTCTTCGTGTTCAAATCTACCATGATTTTCAATATTCTACCTTGTGTCTTTCTTTACGACGGCTTTAATGAAGCCACTGCTAGTCCCGTCTCTCGACTTCCTGCCGAGCTTCTGCAGGTCATCTTCACCTTCTGCAAGCCAGAAACGCCGTTGATACGACGTTTCGATGGCCCAACGAGCCCCGCTATAGTTCCCGATGCCAGTGAATACCCTGTACTATATGTCAGCAAACAATGGCGAGCAGCTTCCATTGCACTTCTAAAACTTGCTCCTCTTCCTACCATGCTTGATTTGGATCTCTCTTCCCATGAGGAGATTCGAATTAAGAACCACACAAAAGCTACAGCTCTCCACCGTCTCGAGAAATACCTCACTCAGACGTCACCCAATCCCATTTCCTTTCGCATATACGATTGGAGAGGGTTAGAATACCTTGCCTTAATACGCGACCGAATTATTTACCCCCGAATGTTTACAGTCCGCACTACCGCAATTCTAAAGCTCCTCTGTGAACATTCACATCGTTGGGAGAATGTCATACTTCACATACCTTCCCCTGTATTCCACCACATTCGAGATGATATTAAATATCTTCCGAATTTGAATTCTCTCGAATTAAGTGATGACGGGGATGGAGGTATTTGGAACATTCTAATAGGGGGAGAAAATACTTTCCCATCCTTCATGGGCGCAAAGCAATTATCTTCGCTTACGCTCCATGCCAGTCTCCTCCAAGAGCACGATTTGACGCTCCCATGGTCTCAATTAACCAGTGTAACACTCACCTCCTCAAACCCACATAACTTCCGCTTCATACTCATTCACTGCCAAAATCTTGTCGAGTATAAACTCATTGATGAAAACCGGCGTAATAGGCTGGCACCGGATATAGCGGTGCCTCATTTTGCATTGCGAAGGCTCTGGGTGAAAAACTGCGATCTCAGCTCCTTTTTCCCTTCGCTTCACGCGCCGAATGTGGAGGAGCTTTACGTCGAAGGGACTGCTATGGACCGGCTGGAAGATGCCCAGGCCATTGCGATTGCTCTCCCTTCTCTTCAGAAGCTGCATATTAAATTCGCTTTCTGTGGTCCGTCTACTGGATTTGCTAAACTGGAGTGTGTTTCCGCTCCTACCCTCATACTCGAGACATCTGGAGATATGCCTGGACGGGCGTTTGATATTCTGGAAAAGAAGGATGGAGTTCGGCATCTTCATCTTTGCTTCCAGCAGACGGAAGATGAAGTTTCATTGCTCCGGATAGTCAAGGAAAGGATGATTAAATCGAGTGAGTTGGAATACTCGACTTCACGCCTCCACTCCTTCCATATAGAAGCTTGTCTCTCAAGTGAAGCATTGGAGGAGCTGCGTAGGTTTTCAAATTCGGGTTTCTCTATCTTCGGAGTTGAAAAATGTGTGCAGAATAAACTTAAGCTTGAGGAGAGGCAAAAAAAAGATACGATTTCTGAAACACTGAGGGCAGCGGTGAGATTTGTGATAAGAGGACCATTTTTTAGGACATTTCTATATATGTATGATATGTATCTAGTCAAATTTTGTTAGAATTCGATGTGAATAGTTCGTAAGTAGTACAAAATAGTTTGTACTTGCAATTCAAAAGGAAAAGAATCACTTGCTTCGCGTCGCGCGGCTTGCATATGAAAACTTTCTGATAGCCTATTCCAAACGAACTTTATATATTCGAGACATAAGCAATGTTCCCGATTGTTAAGGAGGCGATGAATAAGTTGATCCTGGGACCTGCTGCTACGCATGCACTGCATTTAGTATTATTTTACCATCTATAAGAATGTTGAGTCCTCGGGTTCAAATTTACCATGATGCCCAATATTGTCCCTCGCATTTTCTCTGCAGACCGTTTTCATGAAGTGGCCGCGAGTCCAGTTCATCAGCTTCCCACTGAGCTCCTGGAGATCATCTTCGCCTTCTGCAGGCCAGAATCACCGTTGAGAAGACGTTTTGATGGTCCAGTCAGCCCCATCATGCTTCCCGACGCGAGTGAATTCCCTGCTCTATATGTGAACAAGCAATGGCGAGCGACTGCGATTTCACTTCTCAAACTTGCTCCTCTACCTGTCTTCCTTGATCTCTATCTCCCTGCTCATGAAGATATCCGCGTTCGGAATCAGATAAAATCAATGATTCTTCACCGACTCGAGAAGTACCTGTCAGCCACCTCACCCAATCCCATCTCCTTCTCCATACACGATTGGAAACTGGATGTCGACGAGCGAACCCTCACAATGAGTCAAAGACTGGACCCCGAAACCCTCTCACTCCACACTACCTCCATTTTAAACCTTCTCTGTGAACATTCTTATCGCTGGGAAGATGCGACACTTCACCTACCTCCTCCCGTATTTCACAACATTCGGAATAATCTCAAAGCTCTTCCAAATCTAAAACTCCTTGAATTGCGAGACGCGGGGGTTCGAGGCTTTTGGCGCATTATAACAGGGGGACGAGCTGCCCTGCCATCATTTATGGAGGCTAAGCAGTTATCTTCGCTTACGCTCAATGCTAGCCTCCTCCAAGAGCCCAATTTGATGCTCCCGTGGTCTCAACTAGTCAATCTAACACTTACCTTCTCCAATCCACGCTACTTCCATTTCATACTCAACCACTGCACAAATCTTGTTGACTGTAAACTGATGGATTATGACAATTCTACAGATCGTTGGACAGCACCCGATACGCCAGTGCTTCATTTTGCTTTACGAAGGCTCTGGTTGAAAAACTGCATTCTTAGTCGCTTTTTACCTCTGCTTCACGCGCCGAATTTGGAAGAGCTTTACGTAGAGGGAGTTGCGATCTCTCGACCGGAGGACGTGCAGAACATCTCAATCGCTGTACCTTTCATTGAAAGGCTACACATTAACTTTATCAGCTTTTATGCACCCACTGGACTTGCTACGCTAGAGTGGGTTTCTGCTCCTACCCTCATACTCGAGATGCTTGGGGATATGCCTGGACGGGCGTTTGATATCCTGGAAAAGAAGACAGGGGTTCGGCATCTTCATCTTCGCTTTCGAGAAACTGATGATGAAGCTGCACTACTTCGTATGGTCAAAGCAAGGATGGAAAAACCTAGCGACTTGGGATATTCAACTTCACGCCTTCACTCCTTTCATCCAGAGGCTTGTCTCTCAAATGAAGTAGTGGAGGAGTTGCACATGTTATCAAGATCAGGTTTGGCTATCTTCGGGCTTGAAAAATGTGCTCAGAAGAGGCTTAAGCTCGAGACAAAGCAAAGACGAAATGTATTTTTTGAGGGGGTCGGGATAGTTGTGAGGCTAGCCATGAAAGCTTTGCTTAAAGTAGTTACATAATTTCCATCGACGGAGGTTGTAGACCAGGTTTGATTAGGAGACTTTCAAACGATACCGGAGTTAGTGCTATCTAGCGAATTCCAATCAAGTTCGAAGTTTCAAACAGTCCCCTCGGCCTCTCAGCACTCTAGACGTGGCTCAAGCTCGAGGATACCACTGAACGCCAGTTTATAGTTGCTTCCTCATTCTTCATTACTCATACAAGTGACTTAATCATCGGTGGATATTCCGTTCCTTTGATATTCAATAGCTTCATAAACTCGCTTAACCCTCCCACGGTCTGCCAAGATTCACAAGGCCCGAGAGACTTGAGAACGTTCACGAAGACAGCTATATATTTACCCCTTTAGTTCCGCATGTACTGTCATTTTTGCCTGCTTTTTCTATGGGCATGGGTGACATTTTGCGGAGGATGAAAATGAAATGAAAACGATCATCAGATTTCGGATGGACGTCTTCACTTCCAGTGTGTGCAATCTTCGTTATCACCCAATGTTTTTCTTCCCACTATCAATGGACTAAGTATGTTCTAGCTTGACAGGTTAATTTCCTAGAAATTCTTGTGGGGCCCCCGAAAATATTCCAGAGCTCTATAAAGCGAACTGGTAAGCGT